CAGAAAGCGAAATTTGAATATCAGACACTTAGGTGCAAGATTATGCCAAAATTTAATGTTTTCCGTCCCGTTTTTGCTCATTTCTCGGAGGCAAAATGAGCAAAAACGCTCATTTGTACGTCATTCTAGAGAGAAATAACTGGCCTTTTTAGCAAGGGAACCCTCGATAAGCAAATGTTGGCAGTTTTCTCAAAAAATGCTTGAATTCAAGAAGTTTCAGATTTGCGTGGTTTTTTTTCAGTTGCAAAATCCACTTGAACATGACGCTGCTTTTTTCGAGGTTTCTCAAGAACCATTCGAGCCACAGAATTCGTTTTGGCATCGTTGGATAGAGAATTGAATGGGGGGGGTCATGACCGCCCATGATCCCCCCTGGATCCGCCCTTGCGCCCACCTGGCAATAATCTCGCGTACGTCAAAGTTTCTCGCCCCATTTCCGTCGATAATGCCGTAAATGTCGTCGGCGTCGTACAAGGGGGGCTCGAAGCTCGCCTCAAACTGATTGGGGGGCTCTCGGTTCAGGTTCCTTACAATGCCCCGCGCGGCTTCCAGCGCGTGCTCGTCGCTGAGGGCGTAGTGGTCGGTCACGCCCGATTGTGAGCAGTGTAGATCGGCGCCCCCCAAGTCCTCAGCTGAAATCTAGTTTACTAGTTTATTTTCTGGGCGAAAAGCCTGAAATTTGGGGCGCACCTGCTCGCCAGTGGCGGCGCGAACCAGGGGCGGCCCCGCCAGAAACACGGTCCCTTGTCTCCTCACTATAACGGATTCGTCGGCCATTGATGGAACGTAGGCGCCTCCTGCAGTACAGGGCCCCATAACGACGGCAATCTGGTCAATTGGGTTTTAATTAATTAGTGATTGGCACCGTTATAAGCTAAATTGATCAATTTTCAAGGATGGATTACCTGTGGAATTCCCATGGCAGACAGATTGGCCTGGTTGAAGAAAATTCTGCCGAAATGATCCCTATCGGGGAACACGTCGGACTGATGGGGCAAATTGGCGCCGCCACTGTCCACCAGGTAAATGCAGGGCAAGTGATTGTCCTGGGCGATTTCCTGGGCCCTCAGGTGTTTTTTCACAGTGCAGGGATAATAAGTGCCGCCCTTTACAGTGGCGTCGTTCGCCACAATCACACATTCCTGCCTAAAACCGCATGATGGGTGGAAGTAGAGTATTCAGACCGCCCCATGCTTGGTACTACCCTTCGACTTTTCCGATCCCGGTGATAATTCCGGCCGAATGAACGGTTTCCTGGTAGAGTTCATTGGCGGCGAGGCCGGACAGCTCCAAAAAGGCACTGCTCTTGTCCAACAGCAAGTCGATTCGTTCTCTGGCCAGCAGTTTGCCTTTGCCGGTGTGGCGCGCCACTGCCTTTTCGCCGCCGCCTTGCAGCGCTGCACTGGTTTTTTTGCGTAGAATGCTCACCAATTGCGTCATGAAAGCATGATTTTCCTGAAAAAACGCACATAATGAATGGAAGTGATAGAAGAGGTCTAAAGCAGTTCTTTGAATCAGTCCCTGCAACCAAAATAAATAGGAAAAAGTGGCAATAGTAGCTTCACAGTTAAATTAACGAAGGTTTGTACCTGGAATTGACTCGATTGGGGTTCCAGCTTAGTGGCCAGCACGTTTGTTGAATGATGCCGCACCAGAGCCAGCCATTTGCTAGCATTTCTAGACGACATGTCCAGCTCTTTGCCTCAATAACAACTTATTTTCCACCAAATGACGGTCTTATCAATTATTCATTACGACATTCCCTTGTTGCCCCGATTAAGCGCCAAGCGACTTCATTAACCACTGAGCAACTATTAGTTGTTGATAATGAGATTTATCATAATCAGGGTTTAATTGTTGCTTTAATTTACACATTTTATTTATTTGGTGTGGTTTCAGTTCGACGCAACATCGATTCAAGGTTTGCGTCTTTTGTTGTGATTGAATCTGAATGAATCGGGGCGATGGCAAATGCTTCTTGGCTTTGATGGGTCCAAAGCTCATTTTTACGCCAAATGTATAAAAAAACAGCTTCAGTACACGGTGCTAATATGAGTGAATCCGATCCGAAGATAACATTATTATTTCTGCAAAAAAAATTAATTGAACTCTTTTTTTTTGGAGCTGGTTTGGTGGAAGTTTTTATCAGAACAATACCATATTTAAGGATGCAAATAACACACAAGTGAAGTTATTTAAACAAGATATTAACGTTTCAATCCATTTATTGAATGAACTGCTAACATATCAAAATACTAGACTGGATCAGCGACTAAACCTACAGAAAAAAAACAATTTTCAGCGTTAAACAGTAGGAAAAAATTGGGGAGATTTGCATTAAGCGCCGTTCCTACTTTTACCTAAAGTTAAGTGAAGATGTCTAATTCTTAAGCAATTGATGTCTCAAGATGAGGAAAGGCGCTCCGAAGCCCGAGCCGAAGAACAGAATGAAAACTGCGGTCAGCCTGTAACGGTTCTCAATTTGGAAGGGAAGATTCTGCAACGGAAAAAGACAGAGAATTAAAGAAGAACATTATTAAAGTAAGTTACTGTTGAAGATGTGTTACATAACAAACTGTACCTCGCCGGGAACTCCTCCATGGGAGTGATTTCTGACGAAGTTGGAGATGGCATTGCGGGCGAACAGGCTACTTCTTCCAATCATTCTGGATTTTAAATGTGTTTTCCCAAATAAACGACTAGAAACTTATTTACGAAAAAATCCAGCAGAGACTATAGATGATGTCACTTTTTCCAGTCTGACAGATTAGGTTAGGTAATTGTCACTCAGGCGCCGATGCCAAGTCTCGCACTTACTTAAATCGAAGGAATTTTAATATGAACTTTTTTCTAATCTTTGTGCATCAGATAAATAAGAATGAGACATGGCCCAAACATGGCTGTTCCAAAAAATACCGAAAACATCAGAGCACCTCTGGCCGGGTTCCCAATACACTTCCGGAAAGGCATATTCTATAAAAGAGCAAATTTAAGACGGCTAAGCAAACTGGCGGCTTTACGTACCTCCCCAGCAGTTCCACCATGATGTCCACTCATTAATCGACGTGAAACCCGATATTTTGCAGTTTTTTGAAGAAACATCAATTTTTCGCACAACATTTTGACGTTGGAGTGCCGGTTGTTTTGACAGTTGTTAGGCGCGATATAAGTTTCGCTTTTTTTCCCGCTCACTCGTTTTTATCTAAGCGTCAATCTTGTCAATTATTATTTGTCTATTTACCTATTCTTTTCTTTATCTATAATTCCTTGTCTCTCTCTAACATTGTTTATCTGTCAATGGCATGTGCAGCGAAACTAACCTCACGATTTTTTTCAATGCTTAACCAGAGACAAGTCTCTGGCTTAACATTACGTTTTAACGAAATTAAAGCGATGGCATCGAAAAAAGAGCTTCTCAAACTGTACAAATCGCTGATCAGAGAATCGCAGAAATTCGCCTCGTATAATTTCCGGTGAGTTTCATTCAACACTTGATTGGCTGCAAAATTGTACAAGAACACTTGTAAAATGCTTTGTTTGCGTGCAGGAATTATGCAATCCGACGGGTGAACGATGCATTTAGGGAAAACCGAAGCTTGAGCGATCACGAGGAGTTGAAGAATAAGATAGCCGAAGGATACAAGAGTTTGGAAACGATTAGAAGACAGGTTAGAATGGGGGGGCTATCGAAGGGTTAAGGTCGCCAATTTTCGTTGCTTTCAGGCCCTTATCAGCCAGATGTACCAAGCGGAGAAACTAGTCATAGAAAATATACGTAAGTAGTAGTCAGCTAGCCAAAAGAGATTAGGAACTAGGAATGTTCCGAAACGGGTATTGTTTTCACAATCAGTGATTTTTTTATTGTGTGAACAACCCCAGTGAACGGACTTTGTTGGATAAGGATCGCGGATATTAAAAGTTTTAACTTTTTTTAAATTTTATTAACAAAACGTTACTTACTGTCGATCCAGCTAACGAGGTCTTTACCCAGGATATAAAAATCATCGATCAGAGCATCCTTGTTGAACAGCAACCGTCCATTTTCAAGCCTGCTTCCCCGTATGTTGCCAACCTGCAACAATGTGTAAAATTCCGGTTGCAATGCGCTGCAGCTGTAACTACCTTAAACTCTTTGTCCTCTCCGATCGAAGGGTTCCACAGCACGCCTATCTTGCTCCCGCCGTGGGAGTCATGGAAAAAACTTGCCATTTCGCCGTAATTCTCCTGCAACATTACCCATGTGAATCTGTCGCGGCACCATTGATCTCCCAAAGCCTTACCCTCAAAGTCCTCAAATACAAATCGACTGGGTTGAAGCCAGCGATTGGAATTTTCTCACTTTCCCTTCGCTGGTACTTCTTCAACATTATCCTATCGCAATCGGCGTTATCCAGCTGCTCATGAGCTCGAGGGTTCAACGAGGCGTTCAGCTGAATCAGCAAGTCGTATCCGTCAGTGTTCGGAACGAAAAGGCTCTGGAATTAATTTAAAATGTGGTTTCACACAACGACAATGCAGACACTAGATTTGTGTTCATTGAAGTACTCACCTTGAGTTCAAATGTGGCCCTGCAGCTAATCCTATCAACGATCAGCTTCAAGGACGCCTCAGCCAGCTGCTGGACGCGATTCAGCACCTCCCTAGTGGGGTTGCTTGTGGTGAAAACCGACTGGCCCTGGTCGCAAGGCGTGATGATATAAAGCGGCTGCACCAGAGCGCGCTTTTCCTGCACCTTCTCCTCCAAAGAAGCGATGTCTTCCCCTGCAGGTGCAGAACCACAGTGCGTCATGTAAAGCATTGAAGCGTCGGGGACACTTACCAGTTAATTCGTCGTTGAAGTTCACAATAAGGGGCTGAAGTTCCCACTGAAACTCGCTGATAAACTTCAGGAAGCGCAGGAAAGCTAGTTGTGGAGTTGACGACGCGCTAGGAAAGGCTGTGCGGTTGACATAGAGGGATACGTTCAGAAGATTAACCACTGTGTCGGGCAGATGCGAGTTGTCGATCATATGGCACCGCAACCATCTTTTTATCAAGGCTGTAGCCGGGCCAAAGCTGGGCGATTGCATCTGGATGCTAAAAAAACCTCTTAATAAACTCGAGTTTTGGGACGTTTCTCTGGCACTTACCCTTTGAGGGAGGCATTCACTTTGGGCAAGATTCCGAGCATCTTTTCGTATTCCTGGCTTTCCGCATTGTCCACGTATGCTGTAGAGCCAGCTTCGGTGGTTTGCTTCTTCATCATTACGATTTCTTTGGGCACATAAAGCCGATACCTGCGCAATTTTGGTATATTTTACATTCGTATGGTAAAAGCAGAGGATTGTAAGCTTTCGGGTTTTCTAGCGGCTTTGTCCATTCGAAAACAACTGTGTGTGACTTTCTGAGAAGAAATGTTCAATCATTGCGACGCAAAATTGAACCAACTTACTCTTCAGTGAGGCCCTTTCGCCCCAAATACACTACGAGCATGTTCGTAGAAGGATTCAGCTGCGTGGCGGATTTCCTCAAATTTTTCGACCCGAGAGCCCCAAACGAATAAAAAGTTGTTTTCAAGACGAGGGTTTGTCGTCATAAGGATGAACTGCACCTACCTGAACACTAAACCTTGGTAAAACGCGTCCAGATACTCCGTGGTGGCATTGCATAGGATGTTGTGCTTCTCCTTGAGCATTTTGGCGATCTCCAGGTGAAACGACGTTTTCAGGTGGCGAATCGCCTGCAGGTCGCTGGGCCACTTAGAACTGTGCTCTGAAAAGAGGCAACATCTTGACACAGTGAAGTGAAAAACACCGAAAACACTCACCTAGCTGAAGCACGAGTTCCAGGGGTTGCAGATACCTGGGAACCTGCTGCTTGACTGCATCAAGAACCAGAGAGTTTTCTTTGGCTGGTTGCCGTTTGCCAGCCGATTGGCATCGAGCCGCTACCGGTGGGAAAACTTCACAGTAACTGCAATCGGATATTTCAGTTTGTCTCGAAGGCAGACAGTCATCAAAACTCTTTACCTGAACGTGTCGGACGTTCCTTGGATGCCGGTGATGCTGAGCGACATTTGCACGCTGCGCAACTTCTGGCCCAACTCGTCCGCCAGTGCGATTGCCTTCAACGAACCCTCCTCATTGGTACCCATCGGGTACGGTCCACTAATCAGTTTGTTCGCGATAAACTCCTCGAACTCGTCGTAGTAGAGTCGAAATTTCATTTGGTGCTTTTCATTCAGCAGGTACTTGATGATCCGTTTCACAATACTGCGCTTTCCTCTGATTGTCGCTGTTTTAAAGTAGACGGCTACATGAGCAGTGCTATCTCGAAATCTGAAAAAAATATGAACCGATAGAGCAAAATCGAATCACTTGTTGAGTCGACATCTCATGTAAATAAAAGCTTTCTTCTCCTCCAATCTAAAATTGCACAGTCACAAAACGAACAAATCTTACCGTCTATCGCTGGCCAAATAGCCCCAAAACTGCCGAAACTCCTCAGCTCTGGCCACATCGCTCAGTGCTGGGCCCATTTCGATAAAATTGAACGCCGCCTCGGCATTGAGAGCGACTCCAAACAACGCTCTGGTCACGCCTTTCGAGTAATCAACCAAGATTTGTGGCACAATATGGAGCGCCCGTCTTCCCAAACCTTTACCGAGCAGCTGGTGCATCTGCTTGAGCGGCAAGAAGGCATCAAACCCGATATTTACAGCCCGTTCAATATCAGTCACCTCAAACTGGTCGGTCATTGGAAGGGCCTCTGTTAAACTGCAACAATTAAACAATTTTTCAGTTAAGCAAACGTTCAATGGTGCGCTTACTTACTCGATGACAGCGTCGTACTGCAAAGCAAACGGCAGCTTGGTCAAGAATAGCAACTGAAAAGAGTCCATTCTGCCCTCGTTCAGATGCTGTAAGGCCAGAGCGGACTCTGTCTGCAGCCTCCTGTAGACCTCAAAGTTCAAAAACGCTGCCAAATTGTAGCAGCCGGTTTCATCGAGGAAAACTAGCTTGAATTGGCTCTGGAAAATGTGCAAGTGTTCGGAGGAAACCTCCGACAGGCTGATGGGCTTCGCCTCCCACTCGCCAGAGCTGATGAATGCAAAAAAGTTCTTTGCCACCTGATAGGAGCTCATCAGCTGGTTGACTTTCTTTTTCATCAGCAAATAAGTGACCAGGTAGAGCACCAAAGTGCTTCCAAAGCCTCCAAAGCCCACGTCCAACTCCCGCTGCTTCAGCCAGATGAGCAAAAGCTTGATGGCCTCCTGCACGTTCTTCTGATCGCTCAACACGGACTTAACAAAGGCGATGTTGTCCTTTAAGGTCACATCATGTGCAAGGGCACTGTTGTACAGGACAGTGGGCGCGGCTTTTAGCACCTCCAAGTCCTGGACATTCGCTTGGAAGACGTTCTTTTTAACATTGTTCAAATTCGGCAGACATCTGGACGCTTTAAAGCAGCCATCCGGAGGGGTGACGTAGATTTTAACAGTACACTTCTCGTCGTCAGTGGGTTGCAGCAACAAAATGGGCAAAAGCTCGTTGCTGTCACTGAATATCAGCTCTTTTTTATGGGCCTGAAGGTGTTTTCGCAAATAATTCAGATAGTAGAATCGCTTAACCCAGTACCGGTTATTAAGAAAGTCCTTCACATGAAAGCAAGCTTTGGGCATGGTCACGTTTACGCAGGCCTCCAAATGGGGCCCTGGTAGCGCATTGTTTTCATACAACCCGAAACACTCGAAGCCTTCAGGCTTTCCCAGTATCACAGATAGATCCTGATCGGTTTCATACGGACACTGCGGAGCTTTCTTTGACTTCTGACTGGACAGAGTGAAACTATGCTCTGGCAACTGTTGCAAGCTACCGGCCAAAGAGTCCAGCCAAACCTGTAAGGCCTTCCGCCTCTTCTGTTTGATCGCCACCTCCTTTATCAGCTCCTCAATTTGCAACCGAAACAAATTGTTGTTGAACAAGTTCTCAGTCACTTTCAGGTTGCTCAATTCCTCGATGGTCGGGGGCTTAAACAGCTCACTCTTCTTGCTCTTTTCACCGGGAATCTTTTGCTGTTTGGCCCTTTTTGCATTCAGAACCAATGGTTTGCGTTTTCTTTTTTGCTGGATTTTATCCGACTCTGCCTCACTCGCACCACTTTCTGCCTACATGATATCAAGCACATTACGCCATAGTTTGGATATACACATGGTTTTGCTCTTACCTCGTCCCAGGACTCCATTTTCGGCTAAAAACTCAACGCATTTACACTTGAAAACCGCATGTAGACACTACAAACAACATTCAATTAAGGTTAAGTCCATTGAACAAGACAAGTTGATGGTTAAGTTGAGTAAGGACATACAGTATAAAGACAACGCTGCCAATGCGAAAATCAGTAACTTCCTTGACAACCCTGGTGGAACTAGGGGTTTGTTGGTGAGCCTGAGTTTTCGGATTTTTGCAAATTGCTGCCTTTATTAGCGAGTGGCAGCCCCAGAAAGGTGAAGCGACTATTTTGAACCACTTTAAAGAATTTCTACTGCATTTTCCCACTTATTCAGACGGAAAACTGGATAGTCAGCAGTCGTTGACCGTTGGGCGATTCAAACATGGCGCAAATGTCCCGACCAATAGCCTAAAGTCATTTTTGACAACGTCAAACAGTTTGAAATCTCCGGATATTTTGCAAACATTTGTTATGTCCGGGCGATTATCGCTTGTAAAATGTTCATTAACGATGTGAACCGGAAAGAAGAGATTCGAAGCATTGCCGTGCAACATTTGCGAAAATATGGAATCAAATACAGGCCGAAGAAGCAGCGCCCCGTCACACAGGTAAGAGCAAGGGCCGATGTCCAGTTGGGCTGCGATTTATCGAAAATTTGTGCAAAATCCAGGCGCAGATATGTGGAAAGAAGCTTTTCAAAGTGCCCCTTGACGGCCTCGCGACCGAAACCGTAACCCTTCCCAATGGGCAGCAGCTGATTGTGCCCAAAAGGCTGCAGGAGATGTGCACCTACATTTTGTCCAAAGTGCAGACTGAGGGCATTTTTAGGAAAGAAGGCTCCAAGGCCAGGCAACACGAAATCAAGGCAAGCAGCCGTCCAATGCCGAGGTGGCAAGCCCTTTAATCCAAGCTCTATTCCAGCTGTCTTTGGATAGGGGCCATCCATTGGGTGTCGAGCACCATGTAATTGATGTCGCCGCCGTGCTAAAATGCTTCTTACGCGAACTTCCCGAGCCCCTTATAGCGCCTGCTTTGAACGATCTATTTCTCATGTGCAGTCTGGATAAGCGACCGAAAAGGGATGTGATTGAGTGCCTGTTGCTGTCCTGTTTACTGTTGCCCAGCAAAAACCTCAACGTTCTGTCCTATTTAATGCAGGTAAAGTACAGTGAAAGCATCTGCAACCATTCGCTTTTCAAATATCTTAAACCTGCTTTATTCATTTGGCATCGAGCGGTTGATTGGTTCCTACAGTTTGCTTTCAGGGTCCATGTTTCCCACTTTTTTGCTTTACAATGTGAAGGAAAAACAATTCATAGACAAACTATGGTGTTTTCGTTTCAGTTCTTCAATGAAGTGGCCAGCTTTTCACTTCACAATAAAATGAACTTCAGCAACCTGTCGATTTTAGTGGGACCAAATATATTTCCCATCGATGAAAAGGTGGCACCCAAAAGCTCTTTGACCATCACCAGAATATGCGAAATTACCCGAGTAAGTGGGCGGCACTGTAAAATAGGGCCCTGTAATAATGAGGCCGATATTTCAGCTATTGATAGAGAACTCGAAGAGCATCGGCGTGATCCCTGAGTACATAATGGAGCAAATCGGTCAGCTGTCGGACTTGGAGAGCGAAAAGAGGCGCAAAATCAAGCGAAGAAGTGGTTCGTTAACAAGTACTACTAAGGCCTGGATATAGTTTCTCGGCGGCTTAATTCGCCCCCATTTGTTCCAGGGATGCTCAACGGTCTGAAGAAAATTGTCAGCAGTAAAACGGAGGAAGTGGGCCGACAACCGGCCACTCCGGACGTGTTACTCACCCCCTCAATACACGCTTCTATGAAGAAGAAAAAAGGCGACAGTGGGCTCTCCCTGAAGCGCAAGTGAGTAAGCTTCTTGATGGCCCGTTTTCCCTCTTGTGTTAAGGGTCGGATTAAAGGGGGTTTACTATGATTTCGAACTTTTGAGAAAACTTGAAGATGGGGCACTTCGTCACCAACTTTTTGCAAAATTAGGTATCGAGAAGGAGCGATAAAAATGTAAATAAAACGAAAAACTCGGGCTCAAAGTATGGCCAATGCCGATTGAACTCCAGGTCTATCTTTAAGCGTTGTTCTAGAAAAGAGGTGCTGCGCAAGCTGCCCGACTGTGCGCTTCTAAACACGCCGTTTACTCCGAGCAAAACTCCCGTTTGCGCCAATCCCAAGTACGTAACACCTCATCTAAGATAACTTTAAGGGGCTAAAACTGTTTGTTCGTTTGCAGCGGAAAGAAAACGGCGAACGAACACGAAAGCGTGCCAGACTTGTGAGTATCAACGATCCTGTTATCAACTAACCTGTTATGTGCGTGTGTAATCGGTGCAATTCCAGGGCCAAAGAGAAGAAAATGCACTGGTACATGCGAAGCCGCAGCATGAAGAACCTAAAGGAGGAGGATGCGAATGCGTCCAGCAGCAACAGCTCCAGGCGGAACAGCATCGGCCCCAAGACGCTTTTGGAGCGCCGCTGGTCAGCAGTCAGTAACGCTGCTGCCTTCAGGTAGCCGGCCTGCAACCGAAACAAATCGGCTCAATCACCAAGTGAATGTTTTTTCTAGAAAAAAGAAACGGCACTCTTGTGCGGCCCCCAAAGTGGATCAAGTGAGCTCCATTCCGTCCCATCCGGAAGACCCCGAGTACGTGCGCGTGTCCAAAACCGAATACGAAGAGTTCAAGAACCGAGTGTCTGCTATAGGTAATATCCTCATATTAAACAGATGCATTTGTTTAGATTTTTAAATGGGAGCAACATTGATTCACAGTCTGTATAAAAGTAGGTACTCACGAGGCTGCGTTGCCGGCTCAATATTCAATTTGCTATATATGTGTAGCATCAACAAGAAAATATGAAGGAAAGGGTAGCGATCAGGGTATTGAAACTTCAAGCATGTAATGAAGATATGAAGGTAGAAAATCAAAAAAGATTTTATTGTCACAATAAATTAATTAAAATAAACATTTACTACGCCTATGGCTAGTGGCCAGGCGAGCGAGGATTAATTCTACTGTCTATAAAACATGCGTCGGTACCTACTTTATCCCTACCACCTGTTTTTCATTGATAAATCGCCGATCCATAGAATTTAATGTTGGACCCAAACAAATCGGGATTTATGAATGACTAGCTTGGTCTATTTATTAAGGTCTTTGGTAATATCCGCTCAACCAATGGAAAATCGTTTTTAGAGCGGCGAATTTCGATCGAACTGGACAACGTGCAGTCGCACATGCAAAACGATAATAACGTCAACTGCGAAATCGACACCAACATCGATAACGTGCAGTCCGCCTACGAGAAAACCCTCGAAACGGCGTCGCTGAGCCCCAGCACCGACCAGTTGGCGCGCCGATTGAGCCGCGATTTGAAGATACGGCGCAGCGCTGAGCAGAAGATTATCAGGTGAAGATTCGCTGGCGATCCGCGCGCGCTCTAAAGCAGCCTTTGTGTAGGTCGCCCAGCGCCAGGAAAATCGGCACTCTTCGACGAAGGTCTACAGAGCGGGAGAAGAAGAACGTGCAGGCTCAAGTAGGGCGCACTCAAACTTCCCAAGCTCCTCTGCTGCCCAGAGTGAGCACGCGGCGCCCGAAAAAGCCCCAGCACGAATCATTCGACAGCGTGGTAATTATATTTTATACAGTTCTAACAGTCATAATAATTGAAAAAACTGGACAATTGCATGTACTGAGTGGGAGTAAAGTAAGTTTACGCTTCCCGGTGTGAGTTGCAGGAGACAGCGCCGCTGACTAATGGAGTGCAGCGGTCGATTTCCTTCCCGAAAACGTCGCGACCGACTGCAGCTGAAAGCTCGGACAAACGAAGCAGCCTGACCAACACTTCGTTCGTCCACCCCAGTCCTCTGGAGATGTGCAGTAGCCGAAACGCTTCCGGTAAGCCACCGAGGGCCTAAACCCCGTTCCATTCTACTCTAAATTGTTCCAAGGAACCTCCCAGGAGCAGTGGGTGAGCGCCGAAGGTTATTTCGGTGTGACGCCTCAAGAGGAGTCCTCCGGCACCTCCAGAGCCTCGATCGCGAAGCTCCGAAGCCAGAACTTGGGCATGGTGAGGGCCAAGGCCAGGTAAACCTATCGCAATCTCTTGATCTCTCCCCGACACTCCCAACTGCTCGATTTAGGCTGTTTGACCACTTGCAAGACGTTGATACATCTGGACAGGCGGGGCAAAGTTCCGAAAAGACGCCGCTCAAAACCCCGTCTGCAGACGGTTCCAGAAAGTCCTACAGGTAACATAGACACTTTCCAGTCTAGCGGCAGTGTTAAGCGCGATTGTTTTATACCCATTAGGATCAAGTGCATGCGAGCCGAAGAAAGACGCAGGAAGAAGGGCAGCACCTCGCCTAGACGCAGACAAGCCGTTCTGTCGCAGAAGCAGAAATTGCAAAGCATTGGCCGCCAGTATGCTGCCCGTTGCAACAGCTCCACACAGGTAAGAACCACCGTCCACTCTGTCCAGCGTCTAACTTCAGCTATCCGGAAGGACTCCCTGGATCTCAGCACGCCGCGCAAGGACCTGAACAGCCTCGATGCGGCCGTATTGTCGCCCCGCCTCAAAGTGCCCTACATCAAGGGGCCCCTGGCCCTTAAAACCCCTAAGCGCTTGTGTCGCACACCCGCAGTCGACCGGAGGACGCCCTTTAAAGCCCTGGCCACTCCCCTGTGAAGACTCAACAATCAACTGAGCCTCGAAGTGTCACCACGAAGTGTTCAAGAGGATCTCCACAAGGGTCCAAGGGACTGACTTTGACTTTATAGTTCTAGTTTGTAAATTGTCTGTTTTTACTTACAAGACACTTGTTTGTGCTTGCTCAATCTTGTTAAAATATACTTTTTTAGGAACTGTGATTCAATGCAATTGGGCCAATGCCCGAGCAAATGTTGCCGAGTATCTCTCGAAAGGAAATCGGATTGTAGGATGCCACGGATAATTGAGCGTTCTCTGGCCTGGGCAGGGAAGAGAATAACAAGTACCCAGAAAAATTATTTATTACTTTAACGCTCAGATGTGGAAATAGCTAAGACTGAGCCTTAGTATTTTAACAACCGAGGATTAAGTTTTAAGTAAACAGCAAGCTGTTGTTCATCAGAAACTTACGCATCGGCAATCGTAACTTCAACTTCTACTCCCGGTTCCAGGTTGATCGACGTGATTTGCTTAACGATTTCAGAGGAGGAATGCAGATCGATCACGCGCTTATGGATCCGCATTTGGAAGCGGTCCCAAGTCTTGGAGCCCTCACCACATGGCGTCTTGCGGGTGGTGATGCGAAGGATTTTGTTGGGCATTCGCACCGGCCCCTTGACACGCAGTTTCTGCTTCTTTGCAGCATCGGTCAGATCGTTGCAAACCTTCTCCAAGGATTTCACATTGCGCGACGTCAGAGTGATCCTGATGCGGTGAATGGGGGCCGTCTCCTGTCCGGGCTTTTCCGGGTTGACTTCCTTGGTGGCCTGAACAAGTCCACGGTCATTTCGACTCAACCATCGTACTGTTCACTACTTTAACAAGACTTACCATTTTGCTTTCTGGTCGAGGTAAGTAATCAGCGCTGAACCAGAAATTATTCTGATGTTCTCGCGTTAAGCGTTGAAGAGACAAGAACGCGTCACACGCTTTCAAGTTATAGGTTAACTTCCGCTTCAGTTTTTGACAGGCTGCCACCAAATCGACTAGATTTGGATGGCAACACTGAAGGCGCGCAATTTAATTTAGTGATGGGTAATGATTCTGATTCAGTATATACTGCAGCAGGGGTAAAACTCTTCTGAATAGTACATTCCTTCTCCCCCCTTTATTCTACTATTTGGCGGTCAATAGGAAGATTCGTCTTGAAAAGCTAATTGGGCACCTTTTCTGAAGATTATCGAATTAATTCGATTCGTTCCATCAGTACTTTGCGCCCACGGGAAACAAGCGT